GTAGTTCTCTTTTCTTCTCATTTTTGGTTTAAAAAAAAGCGGTATCAAGTTACCATGTTTCTACAGTAGCCCAGAAGGGACAAACCAAAACACTGGCTCTAGATAGGGGCGAAGACATAGTTTCTCCTTGAGAAAATTGCGATCTGCAACTGCACCACTAGATGCCACTAAATCCTAAACACTGGTTCACCATGTAGAATCTTAGTTAGTGTTAGTTCAAAATGTTAGCATGCCAACATTTGCTAATTAGATAAACACAAAGTAAAGCTAGCACTGAGTGTCATTAGTTTTGAAGGTATGTGGTCACAAAGTATTGATTGATGAGGGCACCAGAGGAAAAGTCAATTAATCCTCAGGGAGATATGAATTTCTATACAAAATATAATGGCAATCCATCAAATATTTCTCGAGACATTTCACTGAAAGCCAAAGATATGTACCTGATGGTTGCACTATAGAAGAAGATATTAGCATTCATCATCTGGGGACTACGAAGGTCTGTACAACATGTCTTGGCAATTAATCCCATATTAGATATTTCACTCTGGTCCAAAGTAGAGTGACTGACTGACCGACGAGAGCCATGCTGCTAAAAACAACACCAACACTAAACATCAAGGAGAAGAGACTGAATTACACTGTGATAATACAAAAGGCATAGGATAATTCTAATACAGTATATAATGCACAGTGATTAAAATGCTGGCAGTGAAATGTTAACATTTACTGTTAAGTATATTACTTCGTCTGAGTAATGAGTACTGTCAGCTAGCATACACAACCTGACATTGCAGCATGGAATTTCAGAAAACATGTGAATGACACCCATTACTTTTCCAATACCTTCAATATTTCACCTCACTGTGTCCTATTAGTGTAAGAAAATGATGACTCCATTGGTTAAATTTGGCTCCGGCCCCTCTCTCCTTGACTCACTAAATGAGCCGAGTGAAGGATGTTGTGCTCTTCTGCATAAACGCTCGCAGCAAAATAGAGTTTATTAAGACCCATAAAAAACAACATTAAAATTCACAACCAAGGGAGCGTCGCCTGACCCCTGGAGAATGATAAATTAGCTTGTGTTGCTCTAGCAAAACGACCATTTTATACCTTCATCTTCCCCCTGGAACTGACTCCCCTTCATTGTAGAAGCACCGCAAAGGGCCCTGGACTGAGAGGCTTTGGCAGCGAGGAAACATTTTCAGATGACGCTGATATCGTTCAGCCTGCTTCCCTCCTCATAGGAAATCACTCAGTGGTGTGAATGACATTTAATTCAGCTGCATGTCTGCTTTTCACATTCATCGGTGTCAAGTGGGTATGGCGTGGTGCCGCGCTGCACATACCTTCTCTTAAGCAGTCCTGAATTTGACATTGAAGTGTCTGTTGTAATAATAGAGAGCAAGGCCAAGAAAATAAAAGTCAGACATCTCTCCAGAAACCTCGTTTGATATTAGCTGCTTAGGGCTCAGTCCACTGACACCTTTGATTGTATTCTACTTTTCAGTTACCATGCAGGAAGCACTTTCTGCAGCCAGTGCTGCTCTGCTTATTTGGGACTTGTTGTAATTGTAGAGTGCAGCCACCTCCTCATTGTTAGTTTGAGGGATGGTACAACAGATTTAATGTGACAGCGGCACATTTTCCACAAGCCAAACATGCAGGTGTCTGGGAAGCATTCGTAGAGACAAAAAATATATAATTGGCCATAATGTAAAAACTCATTTACAACAAAAAGAAGGGGTTAATAGTAAGTTCTTATAATCTACAGTCCAGGTCATTTGCTCTTTACATGTATGGAGCTGTTGCTGCGTAAATGTACCTTTAATGACGATTCGCTTGCTAACCAAAGTCCCTTGCGAGTCATCACTGGCAACTCATTAGCACTATGCTAAGCTAATGGATCAGTAAATGGATTTTTATGTGGGCATAAATGCTAATTCGCTACACTGCGGCGCTGTTCAACAACGCTGTGTTTAGCAAGTCTGTCTGAGCCTCAGGGGTGTGTTTGTGTCTCATTAGGCTCGGCCAGAGATATATTGTGGATGTGGAGGACTCAGTGGCAAAGCAGAAATGCAGTGACGAAGGCCTACAGTGCTGAAACACTTGTCCATCCTGCGCCTAAAGGTTTCATTGAAGTGGGAAAAGATATCCCACATGTGAAGACACAATTACTTTTTTGAAAACAGAGAAACAGCCTGTAAGACCAGAACTGATGGAGTGTCAGGTGTCATTGTGTTGCATCATGGTTGATACTATCTAGGATTGACACTGACACACACTAAAGCTATTTAATAACACTTGAGAAGTGGTGTGGCTCAGAAATAAAGCTCTCATACAGACGTGGTGACTTTTAGCCTCTCCACTGTTCCCACACCATTATTTACAGTATATCTGTCCATCCACAACTCAAATACATACCTACACACTCTTGTATTCATCAGTTACTGGACACAGTTCCAATAGACATTTTTCACAGCAGCCATTTTGACATGAATAGTAATCACAGGTGTTACCAA